ATTTATTTTTAATGTAAGTTGTTCTTCGTACAAAACGATTAAGACCGGCCGGTGGCGATAACGTTGGTCAACCTGACGCGGTCGGCGCGTAACCAGTATAACCGTGTCCGGAATTGTCGATTACCACAACGGCCATCTTCGGCGAAACGCGGCTGCGCGCCACGAGCGTCATGGTTAATACACGACATACACTGCATTCGTACCCACTACCCGGCACACACCGCCGTCGTTAGCGTAGCRACTGAAACGGCGAGAAACCCCGTACGGCCGTACTGCGCGTACCCCATTGACGTTGAGCCGCCGCGTCAGTAACAGCGAGCGAGCGTGCGCATATGGCATATTCTCTCGCGCGTGTCCAGGTGTACTACAAACATCAGACGAGTATTACGGTCGGGAATCCAACTCGCTCCAAACGATTACATTATATTATAAATATTTTTCAAGATTTAACGTGCGGTTAATTCGGAAACGCTACTAAACAGACAAGAGGATTTCGTTTCGATACATCGTCGTCCCTTCCTATGTCGATCGCGCGCGAAAAATCGTCGGGGCTGAATCACGTAACGGTTTTTGGGCGCWCGCATAGTTAAGTATACGTTTCCGTCTTTTTCCGTCGGTTGATAGTGCGTCGGACGCCGCCGCCGTCGCCGTTTGTCCGCGGTGGACGCCGACGACGACGACGTAGGAGACCGCGACGACTGTGAACGGACCTTCCGGTTCGTCGCCGCCGCCGTCGAGCTTGTGTGTTAAGTGTTTAGAACGTCCAACGAGTGCCGGCGCGTGCGTGCGTGCTAGCGAGTGACAATAATAATAATAGTAATATAATTTATTATTATGTGCAATAAAGCCGCTGCGACTACAACTACGCGGACGGTCGGCGGTGTTATTGCGGACCAGACCGATTATCGTTATTGCGCAGTTGCGGTGCCCGTCGTTGAATTATAAGGAGGTGAGTGTTGTGCTGTTGTCGAATTGTCGATTTAAATTTGTCCTCATCATCGGTATTTTTTCTACGAAACTCCGTTCCCCCCGCCGCATAACATCGTTGTAAGCAGTAGCTTGCCTTCKGGCAGCTATGATCAATGATCGTGCGGGCGCGTATTCGCATATTTATTAACAATAATAAATAATAATCTCTTGTACAGTGTGTACTATGTGGGTCAAATATTTGGAGGGAGCGGTTTTTGTCTGGGTCGTCACGGCGGGGGAAAGGGTGTTTTGTTTTGTTCCCTCCCACCCCCTCCACACCAGCGATAGTCGCCAAAATGGCCGCAGCCTTAACCCCCCGACTTGACGGACTGCCACAGTGCCACCTCGCGTAACTTGACTGTCATTGTAGTCATCCATCGCGATGGTTTTTCGATTCCTTTTCGGTGTCYCCGGCGATAAATAGAACATTATCGTTATCTTGGTTTTTATTATTATTTTTATTATCTCAGTGCGATCGACGACCGAAAATAATTTTTGTTATGATTCATGATATAATGATATTATCCCGCGTCGATATTCCCCGGTTCTCCACCACCTTCCCCATCAWTATAAATGCGATTATCATTTCGCGACCGTGAATCGTGATAGCAGCGTACGATTGTACATTTAGTAATAATAATAATACGATTTCTTTGTGATACGCCGTCTTAGTGTCCGTCTCTCTCTCTCACTCCTCTGCATCGCTCTCTTTCCGACTGTCTCGAAACACTGTACACACGACAATACACGATATTATATTAAAATATATCTATATTGTACGCAACTTTTCGGATTAACTTTCGATAATTTCGTCGTACATTAAGATAATCGTTATGGAAATTTGTATATCGTCGAAACGTTTTGCTTGTGAGTTATATTTTGTATTTTCTATGTTATCATTGCACTAAAATTGTAACCATCGTTGAAACTTACTGTTGTAGATAGGTATTATTGTTGAGAATACCACAGAAAATTACAGTTTACATGCATTTTGGTTATTGCCCTCATACATAAGTATAAGCTAGGCGATGATATAGTTTCTCAGCTACTATCGCACAATTAGATTTTGCCAACATTAGTTAATAGATAGATAATATTATTTCATTCCATTTTCAATTGTTATTAACTTTTTCAATATAATGTTAATAATTATCGTCATGTATTCCAACCATTCTACTGTTTTCTTCTCGAACAAGTCTTTTTAAATTGTTACTGGTGGCACTTGTTTAGTACCCAATGATACAATTTAATAAATTATTACATTAAGTCTTTGTCACATAATATTATTGCCCAACTATATATTTCCTTATGTTAAGGTACCAATTAGTAAAGTAATTTATAAGTACCCATCGATCAACAATAAATTTACAATTGCTATTTGTACCTTGGTATCTACTGAAGTTTACTTACAAATAGAATTTATATTTTAACATTTATTAACCTTAAAGGTTATTCATAACCTCAAAAGACTAAATTTAAATGCTAATTTTTTTATTTATAATTCTTAAAACTTGCCTTGCAAATGATTAAATTCATCAAGGTTGTGTTATTTATTAGTATAAATAACATATTTTTTTATTATGAAGTATTTCATTTTTCATTTAAGTAATGAACTATGGAAGTAATTTTTACTATAATCATTATGTGATTGTTGATTTTTATTTCATTTCATTATTATATAAGAATTTTTTTAATTTGTTAACCTTAATCAACTTGWAGTAAACATGTATTTATAGCAAATATTTAGGTAGGTAGATACTTTGAGTACCTAGTTGATTGTTGGTAGTTGATTTACTTTTTTAAACCTCTTGTTCAATATCATACTTACCTAATTTTCAATTTTTAGGAAACATGAAGGAAAAGGAGAATGCCAGTGTAAGTTTCTCCCAGTGGCAGACATGGGTTTTGGACGCAGTAAATAAAATTCGTGGCCAAAAGCAGCGGCCATCCTTGGAACGTATTGTGAATGCAATACGTCAACATCATCGTTACTCTGTAGGGGATATTGAAACACAAGTTGAACGATGTGTGGAAAGTGGTGCTGTGTTGAAAGTCTTCAACAAAGGCCAAAATACTTATATGAACCCTGGTGGCACTGCAAATCGTAAACTGGTTATTAATGCAGATACTGATTTAACAAAAATTTTGGTGAAAGTAGTAGGCCAATTAGATGAAGAAGGTTCATCGTATAAAAATATTGATCGGTATATTCAGCATGCCTATTGTATAGAACTTAAAAATGAAGGATGTGACTTGACTTCATTACTCAAATCAACATTGACCAAAGCAGTTGATAAGGGTTTATTGGTGTTKGATGGAAAATTATATAGGTTACCTGTTAGTCCAGATTCTACTACATCATTGATTGGAACACCTGTCTTAAAATATAGTTCTGGAAGAAAAGCACGATTGCTTAAAGTAGATTCAAATGAAATCGGAACAACCCCCCTTTCACTCCGTAGAGCTGGAAGAAAAAGGAAGAAGTTATCGGTTTGTGATACTAGTTCATTGACAGATAATGAAGCCAGTGACAAAGAAATAAATAAAGTAATAAAGGTTAAATATTTTTTATTTTAGTATTTATTTATATATCATGATTTCATGATTTTAATAGGCTTCCAGGAATGTTTGTGCTGATTGTTTAGGTACATCAGCAAGAAACCATTGCGGTGAAGCAGAATCATTAAAACAATGTAGAGGTGGTTGTGGAGTTTCATTACATCCTTCTTGTTTAGCCATTAAATGTAGTGGCCCTTTGACTGCTTTGTTAGCTCGTGGTTCTCGATGGTTTTGTCAGGACTGTAGAACATGYTCAGCTATACCATCCTGTTCAGTGACTGAACATGTAAGTACAACATAAACAAAAATAAAATTTTACACATGTATTAACTTTGTTTTATTCATAGATGTTTTTATTAAACTGTGATACATGCGATCGAGGTTATCATATGCAATGTCTACAACCTCCGGCTGTGGATAAACCAAAATCGGCATGGCGTTGTTCATTTTGCTTAGATCATCATGACACCACCATTTCTATGGAGGTAGAACCATTTGAAGAACGGAGGGGTAGGAAAAAGTCAAGTATTAAAAACCAAAGGTATGTTAATTTAATATTGATGCTGTTRTTTATGTGGCAAATATTATCAATATGGTTTTAATTTTTATACTGTTTTTTCTCAAAATAATTACACCTTATACTATACTTAGTGTAAACGTTATTTTTGATATTTTTGAACTTTATTACTGACCGATATAATTTGTAATACATAAATCTAATTGGACTTAAATAATTGTCCCCTCCCCCTCAGGTTAAATTGACGTCTACCACTTCCATCTCTAATGTTTTCTAATCATTTGATAAAATATGTATGTGCTGCAGATAAAAAGTAAAAATKATATATAATGTTAGGTATTTTAAGAATATATAATGAGATGTTACAGACTTAATGTGGCAAGGTAAATTAAACGGACACAATCATATGCCGAGTTTTGACCGCCTGCCTAAACATTTATGAACTATGTATTTTTTACRATTTATTTATTCATAATATATAGTTTATCTAATTTTATTTTTACCACCTGAATGTTTAAATATATCATTTATAAATACAATATGATTATGCCTTAAATAGTTTTTGCACTTTTTATATAAATTAATGATTATTTATTAGAACTTCCAAAACACGATATATGTAAGTGGTAGATGTTAATTAAATCTGAGTGGCAGGAAGGCACTCTTTGCGAGGTCATCTTGACCAGATTATCTAATCTAAACTAAAAAAGTTGAATTTCTTTAAATAGCTAAACATTAAAAAAAAAATGTATCGTGCTAAATCAATATTAATATTTAGAAAAAAATATTGAGCTGTTACAAATATTGAATTTAAATTACCAGATTTGTCTAAATATTACTGTTTGCTTATTTTTTTTTATAAACTTCCTCATGAAGTATATACAAGGTTGAATAATTTACTTACCAGGTTAGATTAGGATCAGAAACCTCCTACAAAGTTAAAAATAAAAGCATTTGTTTCAACTAAAAAAGTGTATTCAAGAGAAAAAAACAGTTATCTACTCAAAATCKAAAATAACTTGTTTAAAATTGTTATAATAAATAACAATCCTTAAAATTTCATAAAATATATTGAATAAAGTTATGAGGACATTTAAATCATAATTAATATCTGACTAATGATTTTAATTATAAAATCCTATAGTTTTTCCCTTTTAAAATTGTTAATGTTAAACTTTTAGGTCTAGTCGTGGTCGAAGTCAACATCTAAAAGTGCAAGATCTTAAGCTCAAGACTTCATCCACTTCAAGTTCAATGAATCAACGTGATGTCACGGAAGACGGTAATGTCTCCTCTCCTGACTCCTCGGCTCCCCCCTCTCCCGTTCCGATTAGCGGCAGTGTGCGGCGGGACACTGCTATCTCCAAGGAGAAAGCAAAATTCTTTAGGCAAAGTGCTGCGTTTAATGCGCGAGGTGTGAACGGGAGAGGATCTGGTGTGCCGAAAGTCAATGCCCCCCTAAAAATGCGCCTTAGCTCTAGCAGCAGTGACAGCTCTAGCAGCTCGAGTTCAAGCTCGAGCAGCCGCAGTCGCAGCAGCAGTTCAAGTAGCACAACCAGTAGCTCTAGTGATAGTAGTAACAGCTCTAGCAGCAGTAGTAGCAGCAGTGCGCATGCTTGTTCTCTTTCTGTGCGTCCAAGCCGGCCCGTATTTCCTCTCCCGAAATGTCTCGCCGCAAGGAATGCCGATTTAAACAAAAGTCCTTCAAATCTGTCTTCTAAAAGTTGTAATTCAACAACAGTCTCTGTTGAATCTTCTAAAAAAAATGAACATCGTTCAAGTTATAAACTGAATGATTCAAGTAATATAAAAAAAATTGATAAAAAAAATGATGATCAATCTAAAGTAACCCCAAAAGTATTATTAAGAGCACCAAAACTAATTGCTAAAGTCAATTGTTCACAACCTAAAATTTTTCCACTTTCACATTCGAAATCAGATAATTCAGATTCACCCATTTCTCTGTTTAAACAATTATTGACAGAGAATTCAGATAAACCTTGGGGGTTTGCTGCTTTGGCTGCCAAAGCTCCCATTGAACCTATAAAACCTGAAGTCTATAATAGTAAGAAAGATAAACCTATTGCTGGATTTATTCAATTGAAGGGGTTGTTTGATGGGTTAAGTCATTTCTATTCAACACCATTACAATCTCGTACTCGACCTCGAAATGAAAAAGATCCAAAATTATCCACTAAATCTGACTCAAAAGTCATTTGTGCTGATAAAAAGCTTAAAATACTCGACAAACAACAATCTCCTAGTTTTTTGGTTAAGTCAGCTGTATCATCAAAATTGATGGAAACTAGGGAAGTAGCAGAAATAGAGGGTGATAAAATGCTTAATAATGATAAATCCTTAGACATTTCTCCTTCCGCCTTCCGTGACCATCTGTCCGTGCCGACGATACGTCCAGTCACCCGTTCCGGTAAGCAAGTTCCTTACAAAATCCTGCTAGTATTCGCCAGCTGCATAAATACTACCATATTTCATAAGGGCTTTTACAAATTTTAATCCATTGCATGATTTAGGTTTTTAATTCTGTTAATTTGATTCAATCAAGAGAACGTAGTATGTAGATTCCAAGTAATTTATTTTTCCACATATTGCAACTATTTGTTGAGAGCATATCAGACAGCTTTAAAAAAATGTAATCTGCATATTTATTAAATTTTTATTTTAATTTACACAATTAATATGGTGGTTTGCTTACATTTATTGAAAACTGTTGAATAAAGTATTATGGTAGACATAGTTCATCATAAAACTAGAAAATAATCACATTAAACAAGTTAATGAGTTTTACTGTATTTTTAAACAGTTAATATGTATTCTGCTATGCTCTTTTACATTTTTTATTAGTGTTTTGCTGCAGTTAACTTTTTTGGCTTACTAACCAGCCTTAGTAATAAATAATAAATATAATTTTCAGTGTTGGAAAATATGAGCCGCCTTGTTGCATCAGACTTACCATCTGGCGTTTTACATGAGGATGTTGAAATCTATAAAGAGACAAGAACACGAGCAATGAATGTAAAATAAAATTATTTTATTTTATTTTAATGTGTGATATCTCTAATTGATCGTTTGCTTTTTAGAGTACAATTCAAGCTCCAGAGTTCATTGCGTCTAATCATCCAGTGAGATGTCCTGCTGCAATTCAATTTGGTAAATATGAAGTAGAGACATGGTTTTCATCTCCTTTTCCGCAAGAGTATGCTAGACTTCCGAAACTGTTTCTTTGTGAGTTTTGTTTAAAATATACTAAAAGTAAATCAGTTTTGGAAAGACACATGCACAACTGTAACTGGAGACACCCACCTGCTACTGAAATCTATCGGCGTGGAAATCTGAGTGTTTTTGAAGTAAGTAAAATTCATTTAACAATTCATAAGTGGTATACTTTATTTTAATTACAACTACTTTTATTTTTTTAAATAGGTTGATGGAAACGCCAATAAAATCTATTGCCAAACATTATGTTTATTAGCAAAATTATTTTTGGATCATAAAACTTTGTATTATGATGTTGAACCTTTCCTTTTCTATGTTTTGACAAAAAATGACGGTTTTGTAAGTGTACTTGTTTAAATATATTTAATATTGTATATTTATAGTTCTCTACAATTGTTATTTTTATTAAAAATGTTAAGGGCTGTCATTTGGTCGGTTACTTTTCTAAAGAAAAACACTGTCAGCAAAAATATAATGTATCTTGTATCTTAACTATGCCTCAATATCAAAGACAAGGGTTTGGACGATTTCTTATTGAATTCAGTATGTTAAAATTATATGCATAGTTGTATTAGCAAATATCATGTCAAATTCATATTTTCAGGCTACCTTCTATCAAAAATTGAAGGACAACCAGGAACACCAGAAAAACCTCTTTCCGACTTGGGTCAAGTATCATATCACGCATATTGGAAAGCTGTTATATTAGAATATTTAGACAAACACAGAGACAATGAATCTATCTGTATTAATGATATTAGCAGTAAAACTGGTAATTTAAGATTAATTTACTTGAAACTTGATATAAATTTTGTTGTGATATAACTTTAACAATAATAACAACATTCATTCAGGTTTAATGAGACATGATATTACATACACATTACAATCTCTCAACATGGTTGTTGAAATCTGTGAAAAATTGACTATTTGTATTGACTGGAATATTGTAGATGCTCATTTAAAAAAGAAAAATTCATCTAAACAAATTCCAATTGACCCAGAATGTCTAAGATGGACTCCTCTAATGCCAGCATCCAATTTATTAGTTTCACCAGATGACAAAGTTAGTTCTTCCCGATAATATATATAAATGATTTTTTTTAATAATTATAATTTTTTGCTTAGGATAACCAAGACTTTGAAGAACCTCTTCCKATAAAAATTGAAATAATCAAAAGTCCAATTAAAAAGAAGCGCATTACAAGAAGAATGCCAATGATAAAGAGGCGTAGGAAAATGGATAAGAAGAAGCGTAGGTGTTTATATGGTGCAGAAAAGAAGCCTAATTCTATTTTATCTATTGACACCACATTAAGTCAAGTCGAAGAAGATCCAAATGTGAAAAATAATATGAATGGACAAGTAATCAATTTAAAAGAAGAAGAAAACATCATTGAAGATAATTCCTTAAATGAAAAGTCTGAGCAAAACTGGAAATCTGATGAAAAATCTGCCAAAAAAGACATTATGAAGGAAGAATTGAARGAAGAGAGGATTGAAGATATACAAACAGAAATATTAAAACCTAAATCCCCTGCTAAAACCAAACAAAGGTTTAAAAAAATTYTTTTTATATATGTCATGTTTTTTTAAGTACCTTAATATACTTTTTGATGTATATTATAATTATGGATAATTTGTTTCAGTTCAATCACAAATTTCCTCAAGCGRGAAAATCCTGATATTAAAAATACTATTCCTCAAAAAAAGAAGAGAAAATTGCCTCGAGGCAGATCACGTAAAAGGCAAAGACCCAAAACTCAAAATGACAACATTGAACCTAAAGTCAAGAAAGTTCGAAAGATAGAACAAAAGTCTCTTGAAATTGAAACTATTGACGAAAATGTAGAATCACAGCCTGTGAGTACATTGTAGTGCTATAGTATTTTTAATATATTCAAATATATTATATAAAAATTTATCTGTTAATTTATTTATTTTTATGATTATTAGGTGAAAAATGAGAACATTGACGAACTAGACAACAATGATGAGCAGAACAATAAGATTGTAGAAGAAAAACAGGAAAATAATGAAATATCTGAAAAATATGACAACGAAGAAGAAAAAGAAAACCTACATGAATGCAATGATAAGAGTCCAGAAAACATTAGCGAAGAAAAAGAGGATAATCATACAAAGTTAGAAGAAGAAAAACCAGTAGAGGAAAAGATAGATCAAATTGATACTGAYGTATTGATTGAAAATTCTAAGAATTTTACAGCTGAATGTTCTAAAACAAACACGGATGTTAAGGCTGATGAGATAACTGTTGAAAATATTATTTGTTCTAAAATTAATGGTGATAACATTGCAAATTCCAAGGAGGAAGAAATCGAACAAACGCAAAATGAATTAGGTAGTAATGTTAACTCTGTAGAAGTAACAACTGACGATGACATTATAAAACGTTCAAATGGTAGAGAGCCTGTAGGTGATATGCCTAATGATGTTCCTAAAATAAAACTATCAGAATCTAAAGAAGAATCTTCTAACAATGCTGTTGAATTTACATGCAATTTAGAGAAGTCTCTTAAATCTAATATGGATAATGTAATATTAGAAAAACCTAAAGTACAACCTTGTAATAGTGTTGTATCTCTGGATATGAAGCAAAATGAGAATATGCCAAATAACTATGATAAGACAAATGTTATTCTAACTGAAACAAAGCAATTTAATGATCAAGTTGTTTTATCAACTAAATTTAAAGAAGATTCTGTTGAAACTGATACAAGAATGTTAAATAGTACAGAAACATGCAATAATTTTTCCAAAACTGATAATGTACAGCCTTCATTGTCTTCTATCACTGATAAACAGTACACTAATTGTACAATGGTTACAAATGATTTTTGTAAGCCATTGCCAGATTCATCATTGTTGTCAAATGTCAAACAATATGGTAGTGAACCGTTGCCAAATGAATACAGTAAATCAGGCACTGTACTTCCAAATTCAAAACAATATGGTGAGGCTTTATTGAATGATTATAGAAAATTGGACATGCATCAGCCAGATATAAACAAGCAAATGTTYAATAAAGAAGATTCTGTTGAATATATAAAGAACTTGCAAGGTCTTCCAACACCCATTAATAGTTCACAAGATGTATTTAAGGTCGTGGAGCAATCTAAACCTAAAGTTTCTGAAAAAAATTATTCTCCTTCAATTGTGGCTGACCACACAATAGTTGTCCCTAAATATGATGGTGTCAAACATGAGAAGCAATCCAAAAGAACAACACCTTCACCAAAAACTGTGCCATATCGTTTGCCCACTGAAGTGCCACAAGTAGATAAATCCCGATTGCATGAATACTTGCCCACCATGGGGTTTCTAAACTATCAAAAAATTAATAATTCTATAGGTATGGGTCATCCAGATATTCCTAAAACAACAAAAGACATGTATGCAGACAAAAAAACTGATGCTGTCAACATGAATTTACCCAAAGACAAAGAAGTAATGAACTTGCCTAAAACTATGGACAACAGTCTTTTATATTCATCTGTTATGCAACAATCCCCATATACAGATCAATCTATGATGCACTTATCGCTCCATCATCATTTGGCCCATTCATCCCAATATCATCATACTCCACCTGTGCCTTCTCAGGTGCCACCTCCTGTTCATCAGACAAAATCTCGGAGTAAAAAAAGTGAACAAAGGAGATTGGCTCAACAGAATCAGACGCCTGTTGCACCGTCTACTCAACAACCTACCCCTCCACCAATACCTAGCCACACACAATCATATCACCATCAYCATCAAACAGCTACATACATGATGCCACAGCCATCACCCTCTAGTCCCTATCACCATTCCGTGATCCAACACCGAATGGGCCAACAAGCAGGCACATGTTCGTCTGCTGATTTTTACTTATCACATTCTAACCAACACGCAGTTGCTGCAGCTGCACAGATGGCTTCGTGCAATCTTTCCAAACTTCAGCAAATGACAAATGGATTGGATCACCATCGCAGGCATATCTCTTCACCTGCATCATCGCCAGCCTCTTCCCCAGCCAACATGACTCCACCTCCTCCCGCTGCATCTGCAGCCGCTGCACATTTGCTGCAACAGTCTGCGGTTGCTTATCACAAATTGTACCAACAAGCAGGTCAGACCAATCAGTCACGACAGTATGGTCATCAAACACGAGGTTCTCCGGCATCACCTAATGTTGGTCTCATGACAATGCAGTATGGAGCACCACCTCCTTTCAACGGTTACAGGGTAGCGTCACAATCCACTCCACCACCATCTGCTACTAGTTATATGAACCAGACAGCTGGACAATTGCAGTACTCGACGCATACACAAGATCCACACCATCAGAATAGTGTGTATCCAACTTCGGCATACAACGGCTCGTATTTACAACCACTAAATGGGTCCATGCATAGATAATCTCTTGTTATATTATTATTTTTATTATTAACTTTTTTTTTTTTATATTAATGATTAAAAGATTGTTATTCACCATCATAACATAATATACTTTTTTATAAACATACAATAAAGAAGAAAAAAATGTTACCAGTTTGTTATATTAAGATGAAAACGACAACAAAAAATTCATTTTATACCCTAAGAAAAGTACATTTGCAACAGACCGATTCTTATCTTTAAGTTATGTTAGTTCACAAACAGTATTTTTTATTTTTTTAGTTGTGTATGCTATGCATTATTTTTATTTTTTTATTTATCACAACAATTTGTATTTAATTATTAACTTTTCTTTCTGTTGATTGTTGAGATCAATATGTAAACGTTACAATTCAAAAAATATGTTAAAGGAACGGGTACGTCAAGTTTTTATTGTACAAAGTTCAAAGAATTTCCTTAGTCTATAAGTACATTTTAAAACACTTGAAAGTCTAGTTTCAGCTTGTTATTTATTTTTTTCTACTGTAATTGTATAAAAATATACATAACTAATTTATTAAAAATTAATTTTTACGCTTATTTTATTTTATTATCATCTTAGCTATTTATCTTTTTATTTGAAATGATCCAAAACAATCTAGGCATTAAAGACATTTAATTCAGTATGGGTTATTATACCATGGCGAGAGGTATAACTTAAGTTATTGCAGAGGTTCCTAACCAGGGCCTCCTTGGGTGACGCAAACTTTATTTAGAGTCACGTGAAATTATTTGCAATACATTTTCAAGAAAAAAATAATTAAATATATAGTTAATGTCCAATTAAATAATTTGTTTTAACTCTACCGGTAACAATGTGAAATTATGTGTGGTTTCTTGAGGGTGGATGTAATTTATAAGTATTATCGTATATAGACGTTATTGAAGAAAGGTCCAATATTCAATTAATCAATTGCACAGTAAATTAAAAATTTGCTAGTGTAAATAATAATTTTTGTACAAATATTGGCTATAGGTTATACTAAATAATATATTATGTGAATAAAAGTACCTATGACCTA